GAGTACATATTAATGATTTATTACTAGCATTAAAAGGTATAATTTTTACATCAATATTTTACCTATTAGTATTAGTAATCAGTGAGACTTGAGAATAATAACATTTCATATTGTAATTCTATTGTGTAGTTTATTGATATTTATAGCCTTTGACTGTAACTAGAGGTCGAACCGCTCTAAGTAAGTTAGTCGAAGATGGATGGATGATAATAGTGATAATTTATTGAAAATAAATCAGCACTATATATAGTACATAGGAACAAAGGTGAAGATGTACATTATCCTCTAATAACTAGTATCATTCAATTCCAATTAGAAGTAAAATATCAACGCAATAAATTCTGAATTCTTTTAAATAATTTTTTTGTGATAGACGACAGTCGCTTTTACTTGGATTTAATGACTAACATCGTATTTAAACAAACTTAATAAGTTTATATTAATTTTCTCATTTTTTCTGTTTGTACAATAACTCACAATTCGATAGTTCTTGTGTTTAGTGTTTGTAATTGATATGTATCTTGTAGTATATTTGAATCAAAAAAAATAAATATATAATCATGATTTTAATAGCATATTCTCGACATGATCAAGTGAAGGATGGTTTCATTGAAAACGATGGTATAAATACATTAATCAAAATAGCAGATCCATTGTTAACATCAAAAGAAACAGAAGAAAGAATTTATAGTATGGTGGACAAGGATATCGAAATTCGAATCGAATCAGCACGTGAAGCAGGAGCTGATGAAGACATGTTAGATAAAATACATCGAGAACAGCTGATGATGCATAAAGTTTTTATCAATTTACTTAATGATATAGGATTATTGGCATTGCAATGTCTTCATATGATATCATTTAATGACAAAGCAAAAGAAATCTTAACGACAAATGAAGTATTCCTATCAAAAGTTCTAGATATTGCTCACGATCGTGCCATGAAACGAAAAAACAGACCCTTAAAAAATACCATTGATGATTTACTACGAGTATTAGGACAAGATAAAGGAAATGATATAGAAATTGTTCAAGAAAGAGAGTAATAATTTTAAATTGTATTTTTTGAATTCATTCTTTCTTTTTATTTAGCGAAAATTATGATGGTATGGAGTATCCTCTTTCTCCTGTGCCAGAAGAAACTTATTCACGATTGCAATCAGTATCCGAGTTTCCTATGCCTTCTTCTCCTCTACCAGAGGAAACATCTTCACCTATTCAATTAGCATCGGAGGTTCCTGTTCCTTCTTCTCCATCACGAGAAAATTCTTCACCTATTCAATCAACATCGGAGGATCCTATTCATCCTTCTTCTCCACCACGTGAAACTTCTTCACCTATTCCATCAACATCCGAGGTTCCTACTCCCTCTCCTCCACCACGAGAAACTTCGTCACCTACTCCATCAACAACCGAGGTTCCTGTTCCTTCTCCTCCTCCACCAGAAGAAACTGCCACAACTATTCAACCAGTATCGGAGATTCCTTTTTCTTCTTCTCCTCCTCCACCACGAGAAACTTCTTCGCCTGTTCCATCAACAACCGAAGTTCCTGATGCTGGTTCTCCTCCACCAGAAGAAGCTACTTCACCTGTTTCATCAACACCAGAAGTTCCTATCATTTCCACTCGTACATTCGATGATTATAAACAACTTCCAATTGAATTATGGTCTGAGCAACATGTCGAACAATTTCTTATCGATAATAAATTAGATGAAATGGTTGCATTAACTGAATCTATGAATGGTGAAGAACTTTCTCTATTATATGATAAATGTCATGCGCATCAAGATTATTGGATGATGTTCGATCGTTTAAATAACGAATTAGAAAAACGATCGGAACAACCACTTCGAATATCTGTATATCTCCGATTTTTAAATCGAATACAAAAATATATTCAAGTATCAGCCTTTTAAATTATTATTTTCTAATATAAAACTATCCATAACTAATACTTAGTTTATATAATTAATAAAAATAAATATTATCATTCGCTTATTCAGTATAAAAATATATTTTTACATTTTTGTGGAATTTTTCATCGAACATTTTTTATACAAATATTAAAGTTTTTTTTTATTTTCTTAAATTAACATTAACTGCATGAAAAAACTATTGCTATACTCCATATTCTAATGGGATATAATTTGTTTTTAAATAAATTATTTATCTATTATATATTCTTATATATATATATTGAATATTAAATAAAGATTGAAACTCTTTGCTGTGATTTTAATTTGATCTTTTTCTTGATGGTCAATATAAAGAAGAATCTCATATCATTATTTACTAAGACTTGTGACTAACTAAAAACGTTGGTATGTAACACGAAGCAGACGTTGTGTTCGTAGGTTTAACAGTGATGATACAGAATGAGTAATGAAATTTCAGTATTGTAATAATCAATACAAAAAGCAGAATTTTCTGTTATGAGTCTGGTGGAAGTCAAGAATGTCCTTCAGAAAATGTCTTTGCAGAAATGTCCGTGGTTTTTGGTCCTCAGACAAAAGGTCCTCAGACTTTTAGTCCTTTGAAAAATGTCCTCGATATGAAACGTCCTTTTGAAAATGTCCTCTGAAAATTTTTTTTCAACTACAAAAAATATTCTTTGAATTAGTTTATTATGATTGTGTGCATATGATGTTTTGAACATAGATGGCGGGGCATTGTAGAGTAAGTGTATATAGACACGTATTCGATCTGTATTTAAACAATTTTTTTCTGTATAAAGTTAGCCAACTTAGAGGAAAAGAAATACTATAACTGGGATTGGTTGTTCACTTAATATCGAAAAGAGAAAACAATTAAGTAAAACGAAATATTTTCGAAATGGCTGCTGAAGATATAACAATGATGGATGATGATCCATCATACTTATGCTCATCAATATCCACTGAATGTTCGTCAACATCATCGTCTTCATCATTTATTGAATGTTCATTATCACCATCGTCTTCATCATTAACTGAATGCTCTTCACCATCAGCTGATTTATCAAAACCTACGGTTAATAACACAGTGTCAAATAAGCGAAGATTGATGTTGGACATTGAAGGTTATAATTTTCAGTTCAAGGATTTTAGTACTGACCAAACTAAGAAGTTTTGGCGATGTGCTAATAGAGCGTGTCGTGTAATTGTACATACAACTCTTGAAAATGAATTTATACGTTATGGTGGCAAATCATCTACTCATTGTCATCTACCAAATCCATCCGCAAGTCAAGTACGAGACTTACGAGAAGCTATGCGAAAAAGAGCCGAAAATGAAACAACATCATTACAGTTAATAGCTGAACAAGAAGTTCGACAAGCATTGTTAACAGGTGAAGCTTTGGCAGTTCTGCCTCGTATTAATGCTTTAGGTATGATATTTATTTTTCTATCCACGTGACAAATTTGATTGTTTGATTTTAATCATCGTTTCAGGTCATAATCTGGTGAATCAACGTCGTAAAACAACTCCTCCAGTACCACAATCATCATCTTTTTTTATTCCAGAATCTTTTACCAAAGATTATTGTGATAAAGATCGTCTGTTATTGTATGACAGTGATGATCCTAAGTTTCAACTGCAACAGCCAGGATATATACGATCTGAAGGAAGAATGTTGATTTGGTCATCTGACATTCAGTTGAACATATTATTCAATAGTCAAAAGCTTCACATGGATGGTACGTTCAGTACCACACCACCTAATTTTAAGCAGGTATTTATTATCCAAGCATTTCTTCATAATACCTGTAAGTTCAATTCATTATTTTTTTGTCGTATGATAATATTTTGTAATAGGTGTGCCGGTATTATATGCGTTGTTGTCTGATCGAAAAGCACCCACATATATTCATCTATTCAACGTATTATTTAATGAGGCTGAACGATTGAATAAGAAGTTGGATCCTAAAATTATCATGTCAGACTTCGAGCCTGCTCTTACGAAAGCAATCAAACTTGAGGTATGACACGTAATGAGTAACAAAATTTTCAGGAATTCTTTTTAAAATTTGTTTATTTTTGTAGTTTACGGAAAGTACCATTCTAAAAGGGTGCTTCTTCCACTTTACAAAAGCTGTATACAGAAATGTTCAATCGTGTGGACTAGCATCTGCTTATTTGGATAATATAGTGATTCGTTCTGTTGTACGTCGAATGATGGCACTAGCTTTAGTACCTGAGAAATTTGTTTCAACATTATTTGATGATCTTCAAAATGATTTAGATGAAGATGAACGTGACGAATTAGCTCCATTATTCAACTACTTCAGTAGTTTTTGGTTACAACGACCTTCAATGTGGAATGTATTTGATATTCCGAATAGAACTAATAACTTTAGCGAGGGTATGTTTAAAAAACTATAATAATTACAAATTTTTTCATTAACATACACTTTGTAGGGTACAACAACAGGTTCACTAAGCGCTTGGATAAATGGCATCCCAACATTTGGTATTTCATCGACGCCATTCGAAAAGAGGTCGATACCATTCATAGTATGATCGCTCAAATAAATATGGGAGTATGTCCACGTACACAGCGATTAATAACAAGAATTGCCGAAGATCGAATAAATGAACTATATGATCGCTTCGAACACAATACAATTACAGTGCAAGAATTATTAGGAAAACTTTCTTTTTTTGTACCGAATGATTAATTCAATAAAATTTTTAAACGTTTTCTAAATTAAATTTTATCATTATTTTTTTAAACTAATATTACTGACTTCTGTTAGTGAAAGGACATTTCGTAAAGGACATTTTCAAAAGGACCATTTCCCAAGGACATTTATGCAGAGGACATTTAATATGAAGGACGTTTTCTGAAGGACGAAAAACCACGGACATTTCTGCAAAGACATTTTCTGAAGGACATTCTTGACTGTATTCATGAGTCTTATAAACTATAGATACATTTTGTTCATTCTTGTTATAAATAATGTTATTGATTAGCAGACGTTCTGTTCGCTCATGGTTTTTCGAACCAAAAAAAGAGTTATAAATCAATTACTGGTAACAGTCATTATTCTAGAAAGAAAATCTGATTAAATTTTTGTCTTCTTCATAATTTAAATTTGTTTATCAACTATGATAATAATTAATTTGATGACGTTTCTTCGACGTTTTAAGAGTATTCTTCTGTGTTAATAAATATTTTCATCATCATCGACATACACAACTTTCTAAACGTTAGCTTATATTTATTGTAGAATTTTGAGAACAGAACAAGAACAAAAAAAAACATTATGACGTAGAAAAGAAAAAGTACCCAAATTCAAT